TTCAATGCCGTAAACATATTTCATCCAGTTTTTCTCAGTCTTACCCCCACCCCAATGCCAGCCTCATTCTACAACAGTGGCACCATGTAGCATTTGTCCCTTTGTATTATGCTGGGTTTTAAGGAGTTTTGAAAACTGTTTACATCTGCAGCCAAAGCAAAAAGATACTCTGCTTTATCAAAATCAGATACAAACTAGTAAATCTCAAAAAAGAAAACGGTACTGGTTTATCAGCTCTCTCCTTTAGATGACAAAAGAAAGAAAGGAAAAAACCTTGCAGCTTTCAGTGAGAACCTACTCTTTGGCTCTTAGTCAGTGGGGATGGCCTGCCCAGAGAAACCAGATTGAGTTGGGGGAGAAGGATGGACATAATATTGGATTGTATCATTCAGTAGAGCACTTCAAAACTAAACGTTCAGTCATGTTTGCTTCTGGAATCTCTCCCTTTGAACTACATCTCAAGGACCCCTGGTTGCATGGCGCTTAAGCACTATGCTCCTTAAACCACCATCAGTTCAATCCCACCAGATACTCGGACAAAGATGAGACAGTCTGCTTCCATCTAGATTACAGCCTGGGAAACCCTGTGAGGCGGTTCTGCTCTGTCTCACAAGGTTGCTGTGAGTCTGATTCAGTTCCACCACAGTGGGGTAGGTGCTTTGGAAATCACATCTCATTGTTGGTAAACAGAACTGCAACAACTTAATGCTTTGATTAGTTCACCAGCCACTGTGAACAGTATAGTTAAGTCCAGTACCTCATGAGAACCGTCACAAGGGCAATGCTGAAGACTAAAGACTTTGAAATGAGCTTTTAGTTATACTGAAAGTTTTCCCTATCATGTTGATTGTAATACAAGTATCGAGACTTCCCCATTAGCATCCTTATTTTTCTTTTAGAAATTGTTGGTGTGTGCCATTAAATCAGAATCAACTCATGTCTGACCCTCTTGTGGGTTTCGAAAGCAGTAAATCCCACAGGAGAAGACTGCCTATCGTCCCACAGAGCAATGCGTGGATTAGGACCACATGCCTTTGGATTAGCAATGCAGCTGCTTGCCGCCAGGCCACCAGAGCTGGAGAAAAGCATAAATAATTTAGAAATAAATTCAGGAAACATTATTTTTGTCTTGGAATTTGTTGAGGTCTATAATATATTGTGCATTAAGAATTCTAATGTAGGCTATTATTAAACCTAGGGTTTTTTAGATGTTACTTATACTCATTTATGAATGTGGACTTTTGTTTTACTTTGAAATTTGGTTCCCCTCATATCAGTACAAATATACTATTTAGAGAGGGGCTTTATAGAAAGACATTTTCGTATTATTTAACAAAAACTATTGAAATTACTTGAGACAAAGATTGAATATCATGTATTATACTTCCCATGAAGGCAGAGAAATATCATCTTCCTTTTATTCTTCTGATTGCTTTTTTATTGCAAGACACTTATACTGACCTAGTTAGGTCATAATTATTTGTAGATCATAAATTAACTTAATAAAAAAATTTAGATTATTTTAACATTCATGATATACAGCCTTGGATTGGAATCTTAGTGTTATTTATTTGTGAGGACTACAACTGTCCTTTTTTTAAAAAAGGTAAGCTTTTCTTCAGCTGGTTTTTTTTTGATGAACTTTTTTTCATCAGTTGCTAATAGTTATTATAAAAGTACGTATTGATTGAGCATTTCTTTCTTACTTTGGGGCCGATTTGATAACTGAGTACAGTAGGTAAACATGCCCTTTGGGATTCTTATTGGTTAATCAACAAATCTTTGATCTAAGAATGCTAATTTTTTTAACAATTATGATAAGTAGTCCTTAGGGTTATCAGTGACTTGCCAAAAAATTATTTTCATCATTTTTTTCCTATGGGCTATATATTACTATACTATTTAGATTCACAGGAATAATGTAACTCAAGCAGTTCAGATTTACAGCTGAATTACATAAAGATCCTCTCATCTCTTTTGTTGTCTCTAATAATGTGGTTGATTAGGGGATTTGGATAGTTTAATCCCATACATGGCCCTTGTACTTAGCTGTTTTGTTGAAATGGAGGACACAGCATAAAGCATTCTTTCATTAAGAAATATTCTCAATGGCTGATAATAGTGACTTCATTTTTAAAGTCATGCAGAAGCATCATTAATTTTTAAGCAGGTAATTTATGGTGAAGTAGTTTGACATCTGATCTTGATAATGAGGCTAGAATTTAATCTAGCTTGTTTTGTGTTTTTTTTTCCAATCAATTCCGTGCTTTCTAATTTAGCTGACTGGCTCAACTGTGGAAGTTTGAGTACAGTTTTTCTTCCCCTCCCTACCCATGCCCTTTATTCTTTAACCTAATGCTTACAGTAGAAGGCTTGAATGTGCTGTGTCACAATAAATGACCCATCTTTTAAAAGTGTCATCTAAGGATCTAGCTGCTTTTTTTTTCTACAACTGAAATCCCTTTCTACTCTTCATATGCTATGTAGGGTACTTGAGTTCAGAAAGCTTTGTTCCTAACTAAATATATATATTTGAGCTCAGGGGGCTCTGGTGGCCTAGTGGCAAGAAGCTGCACTGCAATCCCAAAGTCACACGGTTCGAATCCACCAGATGCTCCACTAGAGAAGGAGGGGTAATCTCCTCCTGTGTCAGTTGGATCCAACTCGACAGTACACAAGGCGGGGGACCGGGGGAGGTGGGGTCGGGGGGGGGGGGGAGGGGGGGGGCAGGTCGGAGACAGGGAGGCACGGGGTGGGGGGACGAGGGGCCTGGAATTAGTTCTCTCCTCTGTGGTAAGAAAATGGATTTTGCCTTCTGACCTGCCTGTGTTAGGTTTGATTATGCCCCTAAAAGCCAGCACTGGTCTCTCCTCTCATTGGCTCACAGTGAGATTCAGACATCACACAGTACACAACAGCTCCATCCACGTGTCCACGTGTTATCCTCTCACAGGGCCACTGAACTCAGCACCCATTATGGTCCAGCAACCATAGATGTGGCTGGAGTGGGTGGCAGCCAACACTCAAGGTGCTTATAGAATCCAAGTCCTATACCCACACACCTTATCTCTCTTCATCCTTAAAACAACTCCATCAATGACAGGTTGCTCAGTTTGATGGATGAAAAAGTTATGTGGGATGCTAAGTAATTGGCCAGAAGACACACAGCTACGGATTTTCAGGTAGTTGGATCCATACTCTTAATTACTTACTCAGATAGGAAACTGTATGCTGGAAAATGCTTCTGAGAGCACAGTTGAGACTTTGTTTTCCGGTCAATAAATAAGTGAGCAAAGCAAAGTTCATTTAAATCCATTCCAAAGTGTCATTTATAAGCTAATCCTTTGCCACATGGTTTTTTGGAAGAGTTTGTAACAGGGTTGGTAAAGATGTTAAGGATAATAGTAGCTTAAAGGTTTGGTCTAGGGAAGAATTCACCAGTGAGGGGTCGGTTAGGTGAGGTGTTCTGAGGAGGATATGGCGAGTCAGAGGTCGAGAGGTAAGAAGTTGGAAGGGAAGAAGACCAACAGATTATAAGAATGTTTAATCTTCAAGCTTTGGAATCTATGTACTAAAAAAAAAAAAAAGAAAAGTTGGTGTACCTAAATCTAAATTTTAAAGGAATGGACAGAGGAAAAAGGAAATGTGTATTAAATCCCTAACATCAGCTTGAGGCAAAACCCCCAGGAGGCCCTTATTCCATTTCTCTCATCTTCTCTCTCAACTGTAACCTTCTAGTCTATCATAGTTTTTTATATTCTTTTTTTTTTTAAATTTAGGTTGTTTATTTTTCATTTCAAGGAACATCTACAGAGATTTTGGGATTCCATTCATTCATTGTTGCCCCCTTCTCCCCGC